ATCTGCCTCGCCCGGGAAGAGTGCAATGATGGTGCCAACTTGGGCCAGTGAAGCAGCGTCCTCCACAACTAGATTGAAGAACAAAAAACGACAGCAACTTGTCTGTTCCCCTTCCCCCAATTTCCCTTCCCCCCAATTACCCAATAAAAATCTTAAAAAAAAATAAATAAAAAAATAAAATGAAGTACTTGTACCTGATTCATTCAATAGAAATTGTTCTTTATCTTTGAGACAATAAGCAAAAATTCCAAACATACTTGGTGTTCTAGCAAGTTTATCAGGGAGCAACAAATAAGGCTCAAAGTCCAAATCCACAACGCTGTCTGGGTTAACCTTCTTTCATACGGTCAGTTCGTTAAGAAAGTTAACTTTTCTTATAGGAAAACACTACTGGCACCTTTCAAGTAAAATTAGGTATTTGTATGTGTTTAACCCACACAATTCATGTTTAAAACATGACTAAAACCCTCAGCTTCGGTGCTGGCCCTCTTGACTAGTAATGGAAAGATCACAAGATTGCGCGCGGCAGGATGCCTCTCAGGACCACCCCGTGCACACTGGCCCTCGATCCCACGTCATTAGCCCATCCAATAAGACAAGGCTGAACAATTGTACGTCCCCCAGTACACATGTGAAACTTGGAGCATAACTCATTGGATAGCTGACTCAAGTTCACGGCCATATAGCTAATTACAGGGCATGTGATTCCCCAAAATGTAGGATACCCCAGTTCTCTCAATAATCTTCTAAGTACAACCCTGTATATCAAAGTCAGAGGTTTCCAAGTGGCCCTATGGACAGCTCAGCAGATACTTTTCACAAGTAATGCAAGTGGCATTATGACCTGGACTCTGAACATTAGAGCCCAAGAGCACCCGAGGGACGTACTTCCTCAGACACCTAATTGGGCAACCAGGCCGACTTGGCACAGTTGCGACATACAGGTATATGCGAGCTCCCTAAGACCTGAGGCTTGGGGACCCAGCTCCCTGGGGACTTTATTGTTGCTAATTTGTTTTAAACTAGAGGCAGTTTAAATTCATCCCCTAACACAGATTTGAGTATGAGAGACGTTCTTAGTTATCAATTTATGTTTTCCTTCAAAACACTGAAAATGTAAATGCTAAAGACAGACAGCACCAGGTTACTGGGAAGTTACCATGGAAGCCCTCATGACACAAAGTTAGGTAGTCTTTAAGAAAACGGGAATGTATTAGGCCCAAACTAATTCCTCAGAAAGAGGTAGAGAATTTGTTGAAATATATTTTAGCACTTCTTAGTGTCAAAGCTCCTGAAATAACATACTTTTTACTTCACTTAAAAATTTTATTTCACTGAAATTTTTTTCCACTTAAAAAGCAACAACAAAACCTTTTCTAAGAGAATTGTGAACTTCAGTTTTCTCCTTTATTAGGAAAAAAATGTGGGTCAGGGAAACAAAATCCAAGTGAGCATTTATGACCTCACCTGGGCATTAAAACATATGTATAGAACTCTTTTTCTTTCTTTCTTAAATGTGACAAAGGAACTATATTTCTCAAAAATGCGGCCCTCTTCCCTATAATTGTATGCTAGTCATTGCATCTTACTTCATCTTGCAACAACAAACAGACTTTCTTCAGGGTGAGAAATCCCTTCTGTACATGGCTACCTAATATGTCTGTTATGATTAAGCAGGGGAGATTATATTTGCCCTGTAAATACATACATGAAGATTGAATTAGTCATGGTGAAGATAAGAATAAACAAAGATGAAGGATACTGGAGGGAAATGTCTGAGAAGAAAGAGTTAAATTCAGTCAATATTGCACTTTTGAAAAGACTCAAATATGAGAGAACCATAATGAGAGAACAGTCTGGAATGGTATAAAACAGACAAGGCTAAATTAGTCTTGTTCAATTCTCAAAGAATGGTATCAGGCTACTGTAGACCAATTACATTATAGAGCAGTTGCTAGGTACAGTTCTCAAACCACTAAAAAGAAACCCTGTACCGGTGATTGTGGGTATTTAATTTTAACCCTTGGTAGGAAGTGAGGAAGCGTGATTTTTCTCTTGTTCAGAAAATCAAAAAACAAGCACACCAGATTTCCCAGATTCACAGCACAGATCAACAGCTTTAAGCTCTTTCACAGATACACAGTTCAGACATTCCAGAAGAGAAATCTACAATTTCCCAACCAAGGATTTTTAGGGGGTAAAATTCCCTATCCAAAAAAAAAAAAAAGTCAAATTGGCAATCAAATGGGGAGGTTAGAAATCCAACCACGGGGGTCTAGATAAGTAGCAATATGGTCTGTTGTAAAATTTAACCCTTTGGATTCATAAAGTACAGAATGGCTACATCAAGCACTTGAGCATTTTGCTTTATCGCTGAGGCTTGCCAGCCAGAAAACCATGCTTTTGGCTGCCACGGAGATAATGCTGCCAGGGCGGCCCTGGGCTCTGGGAGAAGAGCCGCCACCTCTCCTCTCGCCCATTAGGGAGTGGCATGGACCAGGTTAAGGGAGAGCCCCAGGGTCGTGGCCACCCAGCAGGCACTTCCTTCTCGGGTGAGTGGGAGAGAAGGAGAAGAAAATGGGAGACCACAAGCTCCTCCAGGATACAAAAAATTCTCACAGAGGGGGGCAGACCCCTGACAAATGAAGTTCAATGAAAAGCAGTCTCACCGCCAGAAGCCGAGGCACAAACAGGCGATGCCCCATCCCCAGAAGTTCCAGCACTCGGCACGCGTACTCATTCACCAGCTTGCTCCTCTCCTCGTGCATGTCCTGGGACTTTTTGACAGGAGGTGTTAGCTTAGCAGCTGGGGCTGGGCAGGGCACCCCTTCTTCCATGAGCAGTAAGTAGGTATCCAGAGTGAGAAAGCTGGGTCTCTCATCCACAGTTTTAAGAGGTGCAGTGGCAGGGGAGCCAGGCTTCGGTCTCCCCAGGAGCACACACGCAGGCCAGCCTGTGCTGGGAATTGTCAGCTAATGTCTCCACGAGAAGAACATGTTGGCTCAATTATCCCAGGTGAAAGAGCCCCAAAGTCAGACTGGAAAATGAAATCAAATGCTGATCTAAATAAAAAAGGGCAAAGGCAATCGAATGCAAGAAAATGGCCAAGAGGGACGCAGGAGAGTTCAGACACATGTGTGAAAATGTACAAGCTGCTTAGAAGGGTCTAGCGTGTGTGCGTGTGTGTGTGACGACAATGTCTGCGTGTGTGTGCGTGTGCGCGTGTGCGCGTGTATGAGCAGGCAGCAGCAGCAGCAGCAGCCAGGAAGCCAGGGCAGTTGGGAAGCTGCAAGGAGAAAAGGATGAGCTCATTGCAATCCTTGATTCGTGACAAGCAGAGCTGCTGCTGCCGCCGCCGCCACTGCCTCTTGCTGTGAATCAGTAATGAAGGGGTCGGGAAGGACGGGAGGGGAGCGGAGGAGGTAGGTGAAGAGCACGCAGTGTCTCGGGGGAGAATGCTGTAATGAGAAGCCAATGGCGAGCCGCTGGACAGATGCGCTTGCCCTCCCAGTCCACTTTCAATCAGTCGCTCTGACAGCTTATGCTGTTGAATCCTAAACCCACAGCTATGCACTAGCTTCTCCCAACATGGGAAGCTCACAGAAAAACCAGACAGCCTGCCAGCCGAAAGGCTGACCTTTGTTCACTCTTGCTTTCTAACAATGATAACAGATAGTGATGCATCTGATTTCATACTGTGTGTTTAGGGTGGGAGGAGCTGATCCTTGTTAGATTACTGAAATCTCTACTGAAGAGAGGTTTAGGGCAAAATGATAGAATATGGACACAGAAAAGTAAGAATCAGGCATCCAAGCAATGACACACCCTCCGGTTGAAGTGTTTATGCAATAATAATGATGTTTTGCAATGCGAGAATATACAGAAGTATTTCAGCATTCTGGGAAGGCTAGCCACAATTAAAAGGGAGATTTTTAAAATAAATTACACAATATGATAAAACATAAAAACCTACAACATAATAATAAGAGTGTACATTTAAGGAACTATTAAAGTTGAGATTCTCAAAGCCAAAATAACTTTCTTAGGCCATAGACATTGATAAACAGTTAATTGTTCAAACACTGTTTTGATACTCTCTGGTCAAATCAATCCTTCCCTAATAATAATATAACTGAGAACTGTCCAGAGTTTACACATTTTACTAATCTTAGTATTCAAGTGTTATATTCACTTACTTGATGTGAATAACCAGTTATAAGCAAATGAAAGCAAAAGGACAAGATCAACTTGGGGGGCAGTTTCTTAACTTCAGCCCAACAATGAACCAATATGTATTTAGCATCTCAGGCAGCAGCTCTGTCGCCAGCCTCATGACACCAGGTCCGTTTCTCCATGCGAGACGTGGCATGGTATAAAGAGTGACAGGCCTGAGACAGCCAGAGGAAGTTCCTTCTGAGTCTTACTTCCCTACCCTGACAAATAAAAGTTACAGATATCTGCAGGAAGCAAAATAGAAACATGTTTGTCAGCATATCTCAGTGATCTTGGTTAAAAAAGTATGACTGATTATGGAATTGGGTTAAAAGAAAATATTGCCTTCCTTAACAGAATATTGTTTGGTTTCTTATTCGAAAACCTCAGAAAAACAAAACTGTTTTTGGTTAAATATTTAAAGTATTAACAAAATATCATAAGTAAGATGTCTATCTATTGTTGTCAAGCCTTTATTTCTTCTCAAAACAACTATACAAAGAAAAGATTTTAATGTAAAATGATCAAAAGCATGAGAATGTGACATATATATATATATAGATAGATAGATAGAGAGAGAGAGAGAGAGAGAGAACCCCAAAAATGTACACATTTCAAGAGATGTTATCTATGTATTACTTTTCAAAGGTGAATTAAATTGCAGTAGCAATGCATAGTATGACGTTCACTCAAAAGATGGTGTTAATCAATTGAATGCTAGCGTCACCATGGGACAGGCAGGACAGTCAAAGACAATGGGGGAAGCATGGTTGTCGTGCGCACTTCCACTGAGACATGAGAGCTCAGCTCCATGAGAATTTGCCAGGACAATGAATAGTACGAAGAGGTGCTGTTGAACTTCCCCCACGTTTTCCTGACTTAACACCCCTTGACTTCTACCTATGGGGGACCTTAAAGGATGTGGTGTACAGTAGAAAACCAGCTACGCTGGCAGTACTTTGGGAAGAAATTGAAACGGCATGTGCGGCGATACAAGTGGACACTTTGGTCAGCGTTGCTCAAGCAGTATTCACCGTAATCAGAAGTGTGTGGACACTGATGGTAACCGCTTTGAGAACCTCTTGTAATTGCAGTAGTCAAACGTGACTTGCATTCATCTTTTGTTATCAGTATATATTGAGTATTACAATTTTAATACAGTTTTTTCCTTTCTCAAAATGTGTAGTTTTTTGGCACCCTGTGTGTGTGTGTGTGTGTGTGTGTGTGTGTAATTCTCAAATCCCTAGGTTTTAGAGCAAATGTCTGATGGGCGGCCCAGAGTGGCACACACACACACACACACACACACACACACACACACACGGGAGAGCTCCATTGCTATCTTGTTTATATACTGGAGTTCTGCAGGAGATTTTGTTTAAAAAGACTGTGCTATTGCTATGTATGTGTGAAAAGTACTGCCACAGAAGCTTCTCACCTAAGAACAGGGGGACAGCCTGACTTGGCAAAGGAAGGAAGAATTCAGTGACTCCTTTGCTTACAAGATTTTTTTTCGATTGATTTCTTTTAAAGGACTGAGGAGATGTTTCCCTTCAACTGCCTTGGTCTCAAGGCACACTGGCAGGAGCATTTGTTTCCCTTAAATAAACCAGAAACAAACAAATACTTGCCCAAAAGGATTCTGGTAAAAAGAAGTAAAAACTAATCAAAAGACTACCCCAATGAGACTGAGGGCCTGGGGCCACACCAGGCCCTACAGAAGGCACTGGGGATTGGAGCAGCGAGCAGCCCGAGGAAGAGCGGGAGAAAGGGGGGCAGGCCGAGCTGGCTACTCCTGCCAGCTGCTGGACCAAGATCCTGAGCCAGAGGAGGCAGAGCTGGCACCAGCAGGGGTGGAGAAGACGTAGCTGCTGACATCCAGGACGGGGTACAGGCTAGGGCTTCACATGCTGGAGGATGAAGGATGAGGAGGGGGCCGCAGCCCTGAGCAACCGGGGTTCCATTCCCGTGACCCCAGAACATGCAGATCTGGTGCAAAGGGCAAAGGTGAGCGTAGCCTGCCTGCACCAGGGGTCCTGCCTGGGCTCAGGAGATATGGAGTGCCGGGGGAGGGGAGGAAGATGTGTACAGAGGCCCTCCAAGCCGGCAGGCATTTCCTGTTTGGAAGTGACCACACTGAGAGCTGCCTCATCTCCCTGTGCTCCAGGCAGAACCAGCAGAGGACTGACCATCCCAGGTCATAGCGTCCATCCCCACCCTCCCTTTCTACTTCAAGGCACAACAGAATTAGTGGAGACCTACTCCATCCTCTACAGATGGGGACATCAGCCCAGGCCCAACCCATGTTAGCACGTCATCACTCTGGAGAATACAGGACCCTATGGACACAGGAAAAAAAAAAAGTATTGTCCTCGCTTTCAAAATTTCCATAACCTGGTCCTGTTCTCAAGTTATCTTTCGAAAACAGGCTGTTGATCAGTATCAGGTAAAATAACTCTTCTATAACATTGCTTGGTGAAATGAAAGAATAGACTCCAGGGATTGTCTATGCCCTGAAGAGTCCTCATCTCAGCATCACGTCCCCCTCTCCTTCCCCAACCCCCCGAGTCATCCACTTATTGCTGATGATATTCAGCAATAAATACAGCCTATTTTTGAGAAATAAAATTCGTATTCCAAAAATAAAATTAATAAGAGAAAATAAACTCCTCTGAGTTAATCAGTTACAAATACATGATTTATCAAATTTCCTTATACTATCATAAAGGAGATTGAAAAAGAAATTCTGTAAAGGAAGTTCTGCAGCAGGTTGAGGATATTATGGAAATGTGGGTGAATCATCTCATGAGGCAGAGTGAGAAAAAAGTAAGGAGGACCAGGCGATGGTCCCCAAGCCCAGGCCTGAAGAATAGAAGCCTGGCTCCGGAGAGCTGGGCGGGGCCGGTGGCACAGCACTAACAAGAGCCCTGCGCTTCAGGGTGCTCCTGGGCCCCTGCACTGTGTCATGGAGGCTGGACATGCGCAGGACGTAAACATATTTCCAGTGTAAAAGGAAAAGCATGTTAGGCCGAATTTATGGGACTGTAATGAAGCGCGCTGAGTGCAAAGAAACATGCTAAGTAGTTACTTCCGTGGTTACAAAGGTGAGAAAGGAAACACTTCCCATCCTGCAGGAGCTTAAAATCAAGGAGGCATCCAAGCACAAAGATAAAGCAGGACGTGGTGGCCATTACCCTGCGTGTTATGATCTAATCATCTCTCTGTTGTCCACATGGATGCAGACAGACGTGGGAATGGCGTGGACCCAAATCCAAGAGTAATGAGAATTACACCTCTCTCTACAAGCAAACCAGAGCAGTGCTTCTGACATCATCTTTTTGTCACATTTACTAGCTGTGTGACACGGGTGAGTCACTTAATGCACTGTGAGCCTCTGCTCAATGGCAAGCCTAGCCTGCCTACCTCGCCAAGCTGTTCTGAAAATGTAGTAAGTTAGTGCCTGGCACAGAGTGGGCTCTAGATAATGAACCATTTCCTTCTTTCCAGGGAGTCATGCAGAAGAGGAGAAAAGGTGTAAAATGCATCGTGTTCATCTGGGTTCAGGCTCAGAAAGACAAGAAGGACTCGGGCTGTGTTAACATCAGAAAGAGCCAAACGCTGAAAAGGACACCATTCCTGAGAGACCAAGGGCCTCTTCCGTCCACGCGCACGATTTAGACACATTAATAATCCATAGAAAAGGATGATGCTCTTTCTCAACCAGGAGAGGAAAAGTTGCAAAACCTTAATGCTGTAGCTATTTCTGTTTTTGTCTGATAGACTACTTTTTAAATGACGAGCCCTAATAATTTGGTACGTTCCCAAGATCCCACAAACAAGTCAAAGATGACACGAGTCATGTCGGTAGCTTGATGCTGTACAAGCCCACACAACTCACTCTGCCGCTCAAGTCTTGATTCTGCTCCACACTGTGCCACGTCATTCTGGGGACAGAAAGACACATCAGGTGCTGCTTCTAACTTTATGGATCATTCAAGCTACTTGAAGAAAAGGCTAAAATGAAATGCAATGAGACTGAGCACGCAAGTTACGTTGCAGGGAAATGAGTCTCATTACTTTGTAGGTGGAACTCACACACTGAAGAATTAGAGTGAAAATAAAAGAAAATACATAATTAACTGGCACCATGGTGGGTAGTTCAGGTAACAAGTGTATAGGAATTCAAAGGGGGGGGAAAAAGCTTCCTGTAAAAGATTATAGACTTGCCGAGTTTTTTAGGTATGTTCTGACCTCTTGTGAGACTTAAGGCATAATGACCTTAAATGCGATTTTTGTTTTGTTTTGTTTTTAAAAGAAGAGAGAACTTTCGTCCACCAAAAGTAATTTGATATAACAGTCTGAGTAGTCATGGCAGTGTCACCATTACCTTACTACCGGCCCCTGGGATCAGATTCTAGTGTAATGCCTTGGTTAGGGCAACAACTTCCACAGTCTCTTGGAGAGCTAGTCATTTTGCCTCTGCTTTCATTTCTTCATCGACAATTAGCTCAAAAGGCTGGACATTTTATTTTATTACTGGACATTTATATGTGTTTAAAAAGGACTAGTATGGTAAGCCAGAAATCTGAAACCCCTAGTCACTGGGTTGGCTTTTATAGTTTATAATAACACAGAACAAGACTTATTCTGTATAATAACACAGAATATTTTCCTTAACATGTGATGTTAAGTCAGTCTTAATTTCCTTTTTTTTTGGTTGTTTTTCAAGACAACCATCCCTACTACTAACTGGGCCTCCTATGAGCTGGTTTCTGGACCATTCTAGACTGTTCACAATCCTACCTCCTGCACCAAGGACAAGCTTTTTTTTTTGGCCAGTGTCCCTGAACACGTACTACCCACACTGAAAAGGATATTCTAGATACGATAACAGAATAATAAATAATGCGATGCTGTTAGATGCTAGAAAACGTCGAAGTCTAATATGTGTATCCTATTGATGGAAAGACTGAGGCAGCAGATAAGTGAGCTGCTCAGGGTCACGAAACTTGTCGGAGGGAGAGCCAGGGAGCCAGGGTCGCAGACCCCAGCTGCACAGGCGCAAACCACCATCCCCTGCACCGTCACGTGCTACCTTTCAATTAGTGTAGGCCATTGAAAAGCTACCTTACTAGGACGACGGTCCCACCATTTCATTCCACGTGGACTTGGTCTGGAGCCTGTGCTCACCATCTAGTATGGGAGAAGCTACGAGTCTTCGATTTGAGTGGAGAGGGGCCTTCCAGAAACCTGCCTTGACAATAGTCACTCTAAACACAGATGTGCTCGTGGTAACGAAGCGCATCTGCCTTCTCAGGTTTCAACTGAGCAGCACCTCTTCTTCAATCAGACAGAGCGGCTACGTCCTTGGCACAGTGTCTGCACATGGGCAGCCTTCTGGAAGCCATGTTGGCAGGGCAGGCTTGACAATGAAAAGCTGTCTCATTTCATCCATCGCCTGGGCAGAGCATGCAGGGCTCATCTTCATTTCCAAGCGGAAGCAGAAGGCACACGTGAGAGTCAGCTGGGGCCTCCTCTTTCATTTTAAATTGATCAGATTAAAATGATGACATATAGAATCTCAACTACTTCTTGGTCCTCTCAAGCTAGCTCAGCATCTGACTTTTGATTTGTGTGTGTGTGTGTGTTGTCATTGTCACTAAAAATAATGAGGTGCTGTGCTCATCTTGGTAAGTTGTAAATTGCCTCTGCCTTCTTCCTCTCATCCATCTCCAGCTCTCTATTAAATCTGCTATCTCTGGCATCTTCACGTTACTCAGACTGCTAGGTGTAGTCTAACAGCTGTCTCTGTGAAAAATAATATTTTCAGTGGAGGAGTTCTATGGGTCAGCCCATGTATTAGCAAGTGAATTTGTTTCACCAAATGAATGTGCCAAGAAGGGGACATTTGTTTATTTATTTATTTTGAATAGACAAATCTGCTTTCTGAAATAAAGATGGCGATAGATTGTACAGCTATACCATTTCCCCCCCAACCCTGCCTGCCTCCCACTCACTCACTCATTCATGGTTTCAAATGAGTTCAGTTGAAATTGGGAAGTAGTGAAATGGCGACAGTGGAGGTGATTTTTCCTCTCCTTTCACTGGAGGTGGCCAGCTCTCTCTCCACCTCCCTTACAAGTTCAGTACTATACCAAGTATTGCCACAGGCTGTCTTGCAGGACGATAGTCACAAGTGAACACATGGATACAGGTCTCTCCTGCGTGCCCGGCTCCTTTACGTGTCTCACACTCATGCTTGTTCCAAGCAGGGCTTAACAAAGCAACTTACACATCGCCAACTCTTTATAAATCTTTAAATGACTAAAAGAATCAGTAATAATAGCTACCATTTATTCAGTGTTTATAAAGGCCAGGAACTATGCTAAGCCCTTAGAATATGTATGATTGGCTTTAATCTGAACAAGCAATTATGCCCATTTTGCAAAGGAGGCAGCTGAGCCTAGAAAAGCTAAGTGACTTGCCCAAGATCATGTAGCTCAGAAGTGGTGAGTACAACTACAATTTTTTGGATAACTACTCATCTGATATCTAAGTATCAAATTGAGTTATCTGAACCAGTGAAGGGGGTGAAGTTAAACAAGCTACATCTAGAGGCTAATCAATAGTCCAGTGGAAACAACGGGATTTATGTGGTCATGTCACTATGACTATACACAGTGTCTTGGGTTCTAAAAGAAATGACACATACAAAAATGGAGCAAAACCTTCTGCTCAAAGAGCAGCATCTGTACCCTGCTGATCTTATCCACATCCTTCTCGATTATTGCTATTGAACAACTCAGACATGAGATTAGCCTCTCCTTCTCTACAGAGCTCCTTACTGGCATAAACAGCATGATATGCAATTTAATCTCAGCATGTCCAAAGTCACCATGTCTTCCCCAATGCAGTTCCTCCTTTTACATGGCGTCTCCTGGCTGACAGCATCCTCATCTACCCAATTACCCCAATGCACACCTGGGTGGCATCCTAGAGTCCTCCTTTCACCTCAAAACTTTTAATAACCCTTCCAAATGTTGTCATGGAAAGAACAAAAGCTGAGATATCAGAGCTATAGGATTTAAAACCTATATTTGATGTCCAGTAGCTGTATGACTTCAGGAAAGTTAGCCTCTTTGAGTCTCATTTTTCATTAAGAAAATGAGGTTTAAAATAGTAATCTTCTGAAGTTGCTAATGCTACAAACATCTGTGACATTTCAAACTTGGTAAACTGGGATGGCAGTCAGGATATTAACTAATAGGGACAGCGCTGGGGACAGGAGAAGATGAAGGACAGATGGAGTTAGCACGCAGTATGTGGCCATCTGTGGTGATGTGCCATGGGCCATGGGAAATGAGTCCAGAGCCAACGGGTGGCTATAGAAAGCCTGCGTAGACATGGGCAAGATGACTTCTGGAAATGAATGGGGAAACTAGGGAACATATAGGAGCCATGAAGAGATGTTCTCATAGTATGTCTTGATATCCTTCAGTGATCCCAGATGCGCCTTAATAACCAGTTGTATAATTCCATGTTAGGGAACGACCTCCCCCAGCAGACAGAATGTTCCCTGAGGGGAGGCACTGTGTCTGCTTCCCTTACCTGTATGTCCCCAGTACCTGTACAGTGACTCCATAAGCAGCAGCTCAGGAAATGATTCCTGAGTTGATCAATGACAGAACCTCCTGTAAAATGGGCTTTCTAATCATTTGCTTGAAATTTGGTGGCCTCAATAGTCATGTGAGGATACAAATTTCTAATTCAAACGTGCTAAGGTGGGGGTAAGAAGAAACACCTCACACGTTCCTGTGGTGGTCCAGACATTGTGTCATCCACTTTCATGTGCAATCTCATTTCATTCCTGTGATACGTTAGAATAAAATCATTGCTAAAATAAATGATTTGATCATGGTTTTCAAAATCATTGTGCTCCATTTCTACATCCTTGATTCCTCACTTTCCCTGCGCCTTCCAAATTCAATTCATCTACAAGCCCTGTCAGCCCTATCTACAAAATTAGCTTGAATTTGTCCTCTTTTTCCATCTTTGCTGACACTACAAACTACCATCATTTCCTGCTCATCCTACTGAAATAATGCCCTAACTAGTCCACACTTCTACTCTCTCCTCTTTAAAATGCACATCCACATAACAGAATTCCTCAGTGTCTTAAAACTACAAATCAGATCCAACGTCTTCCTGCTTAGAACTGAGACTGGGTTCCCGTTATACCAAACGCTTTGCTACTGTTTCTGTCTCCACCGATGTGAGCTCACCCAGGCCTCGGATCACACCTCCTTCCTCTCTACATCCTGCTCACTGGCCTCCAGTCTCACTAGCCTCCTTTCTGTTTCAAACATGAACGTTTCTTCCGCCTTAGGGCCTTTGCACTTGCTGTGCCCGCTGATCTTCATTTGGCTGCTCCCCTGCACCCTTCACGCCAATGTTATTTTGCTCACAGAGCTTTCTCTTTCCGTCTTATGTAATGGCGGGCAGTGACATTCCCTCGTCTCATTTCTTTCATGGCATCTATCTACTGGAAATTGTTTACTTCTTTTTTATGTATTCTCCCTCTCTCCAACTAGAAAATATCAGGACAAGGCTCACAGGGAGAAGAGAGCTGTGAAAATCTTTATCGGCAAGTTATTAGAGAAAACAAACATAAGATTCTTGTCTCAGCTGCTTCCATTCACTCCTTCATTCATTCATTTTTACTTTAAAAGATTACTTTACTAGGCCTTTAAACAAATTTTTTTTTCTTACTAGGCCTTTTTAATATCTCTTTTCTTTAGCAAACAGCAGTCAACTACAGTGACCCACTGACATTTACAGATTTCATATTTATTGCTTCATCCTCTCTGAGAGACCCCACAAGGTCACAACATAGCAACTTGTGGGTTTGCTGAGGGATGAATTTAGTTACTCTCATGTAGCAGATGGAGAGAAAGCTTAGCTTATAGTCTTTTTCTTTTCAGTTATTATATGCTCTGATGGCAAATCAGTTATTTTATCTCAATTTTATAAATAAAGAAACCAAATTAAAAAATCATAGTGGTATTAAAAAAATTAGAAAATTTAAGAGCATGTTAAAATATATCCTTCATGAATGTCAAGTTGTTTTTTTCCCTCTGAACCTATGTCTATACACATTAAAGAAACAAACCACACTCCAACTAAATTGGTCAACCTGGTTAACTGCAGTAGTGCCGTGATTAATGCCAAATGTTATGCTTCAAACAAGGCTACTATTAATCTAGAACCATCATAAAGACTGGCCACAAAAAACTGCAGAACCTATTTTAAACATGTGGGTAGCTGAGTCATTGTGGTTTTTGGTAAAGAAGAGAGAGGCTTCTATATTTAAAAGCAAGGATATGATAATATTGGTTTTCAAAGTATCCTGCAAGCTTTAGATAATATGCTATATAACTGTCAACTATTTTAGAAAGGAGAAGGAAATTAACAACACAAAACAACCAGACACAGCCCTCAGACCCAGTGGGGATAGAGAGAAATAAATAAATCCAGGGCAGAGGGAGCAAAAGAGGAAATATTCAATTCTCTGTGTGCACGCCATGAGCCCAGAGCTGTGCATGGTGCCAGGTGGAATACAAAACAGCATATAACGGGGTCTCTATCCTCAATGGCATTACAGGCTTTATGGCGGAGACAAGACACACCATTGGGAAATTAGGGTGCCCACATAACAGTGTGTAATAATGTGCCCAGTAGGTACTTACACTGGACAACAGACGGTAAATAATACAATGAAGACAATTGTTTAGAAAGATGAATCTGGCAGCAGAAGGCAGGGGAGTTTAAGAGAGGAAGAGGCTGAAGGAAGACAAGTCATAAAGCTCTTGCAGTAAGCCAAGTGTGAGAAAATGAGAGCCAGGCCCTGTGTGGTTGCCATGGAAACAGCCAGGCTTGATTCTGAGAAGCATCGTGAAGGAAAACCAGCTCTTTGTTATCTCTGTATAACTTTCCAAGTACATGTGGCTGATAATGTCCTCTTTTATATAGCTCATTGATGCCAAACTGTCAGAGATAATATTCTTCACAACGTCAGGGAAGGAAACGGAACGTCCCCTGATATGTGAACACAGTGGCTCTCTCCAAGTTCTGACTTTAAGGCACAAAGTTTGGTTAACAGATCAATTGGTCTGTCACTTTCTCTGAAAGTCTAATTATTAATGGAGTTCAAACCATAATACATTAAGTGGAACCAAGCACAGGCTGATCTGGCAGCACTCTTCAATCTCCTAGGGACACCCTGGTTTTCACTAAAGAGAAGTAAGTGAGATTGTGTAAGATCTAGTAAGCTGCCTTCTCTACAAAACACACTTTACATGCAGCGCCTTTCCTTAAACTTGAAGAGAGGACATGACAGGGAAGTTTTTTTTTGTTGTTTTTTTTTAGCTGAGCCATCCTGCCACCTGTTGGCAGCTCAGTAGCAGCTCAGCTTGGGCCAGGCATCGAACCGCTGTTGCTCAGAGCTCACACTCTTGAGTGAGTTCTTAACCAACTGAGCCACTCGGCCGGCCCACTGACAGGGAAGTTTTTAAGAGGATGAGAAAGAGATTAAAAACAACAAAGTAGAGAATAGCAGTGACTCTTAGTATTCATCATCTGACACAGCCAAATGTCCCCAAACCCCTATGACAGCACCTGGGAAATCCTGCTCAGTCTGCCCATCCCTATCCACCCCTAGTGGTGCAGTCTGGTTAAAGACCCTTCACTGTTTCTCCCCTCCACTATTCTATAGTCTCCTAACGAGTCACCATGCTTATTACCAGTCTTTTCACATTCAGTTTCTCTCTCACTGTCTGCAGAACCATCCTCCTAAAACACCATACCTGGTGATCACGTAACGGCATGGAGGTACCTCCTGGCCCACAGGTTCAAAGGTTAGCCCACAGCCCTAACCATAAGACACCCTTTCTACCTTTCCAATCTCACCTTGAAACCTCGTGTGTACTCTTCTCCAGAGCTTCCCAAACATACTGTATGCTATGATGAGTCTGATCCTCACAGATGGTGCTCTCATTGCCTAAAACATCATACCTCATCTTCTCTTGCTAATGTTTCAAGGCCCCAATGTCCTTTTCTCTGTCGATTATCCCTGTCACCACCTCCTTCCTCCGCCTTTGCATCCCGTCCCGCTTGTTCCTGTCCATACAGTACCAACTCTTCTTTGGCAACTATTCGTGTACTTGTCTGTCTCTCCACCTCTCTGTGAGCCCCTGGCGATGACCTATGACACACTCATCTTTGCATCTGCACTCCCAACAGTTCCTAGTCACTGTGGTCACAGTTCATTTAAATAAGTATTGAGTAAATGTGTAAATGAGTAAATGGCTGATGTTCAAATGAAGAGATGAGTTATAAATAAAATTAAAATATGGGCTTAATTTTTTAAAAATCATGTATTAAACTTGGAGATGGTAAGTGTGTTTTTATTTTATTTAATGTCTAAATTGCTAAGAAGAAAGATCAAAATGAAAGCAAGTACAATGTTTATAGATTTCTAAAAGAAGAGAGGGAAATACTGACACATAATAAAACAGCATCAAGGCCGTAAGAAAATAAATCAAACTCAATGTTATTTAGCAGGATACTCACTATCTAAACTTGAGTTGGGGAGTGTGGGGGCTAGTTCTCTGGCAGTGGATCACTGGACCCACATACTTTGCGGAATGGACACATGGAAGTCCAGAAGTTATTGTTTTAGTTTGAATTTTAATATGTAAAATATATTGGGGGAGGGAAGTATTAAACAAAACAATATTTTGCTTTTCAAGTGGAAACAAAGTGTGTTAATGAAAGTAGTAACTTAATTTGGCTATAAGTAATAAGCATTGCAAAATCAAATCATTCTAGCTCTCAAAGATTTCTAAACAATGCCCACATGCACCCGAACTAATATTAAAATAAAATATACCTTTAAAAATACATCTGATTGACAAGTTTATTTGCCCAAGAGGGCAGATGCTCAGCATTTACTAATAACAGGATTAAAGTCAAACTCGAGGAAACGATACGGAAATCACTGTGGTACATGGAAGGCACTTCCATATGTCTCCCCTACCAGCTATTACATTTAGAGAAGATAAAAACTCCAAGTAAATGGGTAAGATGTTTGAAATGGAATTAGCTAGGCTAGATAAACAAATTAGCCAAAGAATTAAGTTTCAATTTCCATTTGTTTTATATTTACATATACAGCTGACCCTGAACAACATGGATTTGAACTGCACAAGTCCACTTATATGTGGATTTTTTCCAATAAATACATACAGTAGGTAAATGTATTTTCTCTTCTTTATGATTTTCTTAACATTTTCTTTCCTCTAGCTTACTTTATTGTAAGACTATGGTATATAATACGTATAACATAAAAAAATATGTGTTAATTGACTTAACACATGTTATCAGTAATGTTATGAGTGAGACTTCGGGTCAACAATAGGCTATTAGTAGTTAAGTTTTGGGGAAGTCAAAAGTTATATGTGGATTTTCGACAGTGTTTTAAGCTGGACTTGGAAAACATGTAGATTTAGAAGGCTGAAACGCTATTCCCATACAGAAAGCAGTCAAGCCCAAGACGTGTGTTGCTAATCTATAGTTCACTTCCAATTTAGAGATACGTGATGAGGTTAGAACCATTCATGTAAGTAGGGCATGGAGGGTGTTCAGGACTAAACTAAGGTATATGTCAATTTTCAGTCTTTAGGACTCAGTGAATTTCTAGTAAATACGGGACAAAAGAGATGGAAACTGTCTGAGGCTGTACTTAACACTGACGATTTTAATTGAGGGAAATTTTAATCAGGGCATGTCACTTAACTAAAAAAAATTAATTTCGGAAACAGTACTTTTGTATTCAAAGGGAAGGAGTTTTATGCATATATAATCTATGTGAAAAGATCTGTATTTACTGTATAAACCAATAACAAACATTCATCAAAAGAAGCAAGGGTTAGTGTGGTTTTTTTCCCTCTGATATTAAACTTAAAAACAAAGCGTGGATCTTTAGGGAAAAGTCAAAACTACCTCAAACATTGCTTTAGATGAAGTGCAATCTACTGAAATGCAACAACTGGAAAAAGGATGGGGTTAATCCTTTGGCCCTTTGCTACTTGGTGCATCAATCCAGGAATTTGGGATGCTTGCTGAACACGCAGGAATGCACTTACCTCTCTGCGGGGGATAAAAAGTAAGCTTCAGACTGTCTTTAAGAAATAAACAGTCTAATTAGAGAATGCAGGACATACACACATGAAACATTTAAATAAAAAGAAAGACAATATGTTAGCCTCAAAGTGAATAATACATTTTGTAATTGCAGCAGATGCTCATTTCTGGCAGAAAGAGTCAGGAACCATCCAATAAAGGAGGCAAGGTTTAAGTCAGAACATAGAGGATAGGCAGGCGCTGTATGAACAGAAAAGGGGACATGATATGTGACACAAAGACACTTCCAGATACAATGCTAGAGCTTAGCTCAAAGCTGGGGGAATGAAAAGATGAAGACAGTGATTATCAAGGACATGGGGTACAGACGTGCAGCTCGTTGTCGGTGTAAATGGTGCCCCCTGAGGGCGTGCGGCACGTAAGGTGCCTTACCCACGCATGAACAATGATAACGAAAAAGAAATATCAAAGGCCTCTGAAGATTTTATATAGGGTGGCTGAAGATGCAAAATTGGAACTTCAGCTAGGACAAAATTTAGGAATTATTTTC